CAAAGGACACGATTTTAGATCTTCGGTGATCAAGTCACGAAAATTACAAGAATCGGCGACAGGTCACATCAGGCCTACTCTTCAGCGCCGACATCACTATGTTATGTTATATTATCGACGTTTGCGAGACGTCCCCATTGAAGAATACAAGAATACCTACCGTTTATTCAAGGTCCCAGAAGCATTCCTAGAATTTGAAACAAGAACCAACACAAGGGGCCACGGCAATAAACGAAAATATTGCGTTGGAACACAAACACGCGACACTTCTTGCATCGCGTCACCTACACGCGGAACAGCCTACTGATGACATTGTTGTCGCTCCGAGTATGGAAGTGTTCAAGGACGGGAGCGCAGCCGTGCACCACTAATTTTGTGCACCAATAAGCCATGAATCGAGCGCCTTGGATCTCTCCGGACACGAACCAATCGGCCGTGAACCACTCGGCTTTGTCTTCATCCGGCCTCGCATAGAACCTGCCGTGCACCACCAGGCCGCGGATTGAATCTGACTTCCGGGCATCGTTAAATTACGTAATTTTACGTTCACCGCATCTGAAATTAGGTTTCAGATAGCATAGTTATGTTCCAAACTTTATCGTCCTTCGACGAGTGGCCGTTCGACAGAGGGCTGGTTCGACCCACGACCTAGATACGGACGGCTTGAAGTGTTGAAGGCTACGTTCCGGAAGGCAGGAATCATGATGGTCCATTACATCCAGGGCAGTGGTGGTCTTCGGCAGACGACCCTTCAAGAACCAATCAGACAAAGCTCTGCATGAGCATATGTTTAGTCTAAAAATGCCTAGCACCTCGCTGATTTGGTAATAAGTCCGGTAGCTATTTCACATAATGTCAATTGCGAAAAGGCATGGTCTAAAAGCCGGTTTTTAGATTTCCTGTGAAACAAGTCACGGAAAGTACAAAAATCGGCAACAGGCTGTGGACCTATTTCTTCAGCGTTGACACTTCTAATTTTTTTATTATATTCTATAAGTGTTGAATCTTGGCGCGATCGCAAGGTTTCCTGATATATGATCGTTGAACATGTAGAAGCAAACTATGAGAAGATCTGTTTTAAATACCACAGATTGTGTTCATAGAGTCAATACAATATGAAAGGTTATGGGTTTTATTAATCAATTCAACCATGAGTGATGATATATTGCGATATACTCTTGCGCCGTCAGCTCTCTGAAGTTACGAAATTACGGAATCATCCGATTCTCCGCCGGGTTCGCTGGATCATTTATTCGCCACAGGTTCTGCGCTTCAGCATTTTATTATTTCTTTTAACATAACATAACATAGTGATCTCGGCGCAGAAGTGTAGAGTGTAGACTGTAGGCCTGTTGTGGCCTGTCGCCGATTCTTTTCCTTTTCGTGCCTTGCTCACAGAAGATCTAAAATCGAGTCACTTGACCGGGGACGACTGAAATAACCCAGCATTGCCCAATACCAGCATAATTTTCATACTTCACCCCGTGCGCAAGCGTGCTGCGCAGCAAATTAGCCAACATGATTACTTGCTGAAAGCCACAGGGACTAAATTCCTTCATGGATGTAAACCAGCGAGCCAATGACCTGCAAGCCGCCAAAACAATGGTCGTATCCCACACGCTAAACCCCAAAATATTTCTATTCCATGCAGTCTAGCCCTTTCTCCACTTTTGATAAAGAACGCCCTGCGCCACACTGCTACCTCTCCAGCCTGTCCGTTCTTCTGGAGGCTAAACCTCCACGCTTACCCCCTGCTCCCCCTCCTTTCGGTACGCCCTGCGCCACACTGCTACCTCTCCAGCCTGTCCGTTCTTCTGGAGGCTAAACCTCCACGCTTACCCCCTGCTCCCCCTCCTTTCGGTACCAGCTTGCGGAAGAAGTTTAACCAAACCTAACCTAACCTAACCCTAGTCTGGAAAAGTCCTATTTTTGTCTGAAATATCGCAGCTCTAATATCATATAATTTCAGTAGGTATGAAATCTCGCGGCTCGAATGTCATAAATTTTTGTTTGATTAAAAAATCGCGGTTTGCACTTCGCAAACATGTCATTTCATAAAATTTTCAACTTCCGCAATCCGCATTGCTTTACCGCTGTCTCTTATACACATCTAGATGTGTATAAGAGACTGCTGTTATCCTAAGTGTCCGCTGACCACACTGCATTGTCGCAAATGTGAACTGTACCAAACGGTAATGCGTCATCACCTTACTTAATCCGCAAGACGTTAACCCCGCATCACTGTTTCCCTGCCTTACTATCCCCCAGCATCTTCTTCCCCCCACACTTACCCCGACTCTCCACCATTATTGCATGACTAACAGGAGGCTTTTCTCGCAGACCTTTGATGCTTATCCGAATTAGGTTAAGTTAGGTTAGGTTAGTTTACAACTCCTATAGATCCTCTTTTCATAGCGTAATGCAGTCAAGTGAGCAGAAACTAAGAAAAGCCGTTTGGCAGTCAGTGAAAAAAGGCGGGGAGACGGGGTATGTGTGGAGGTAGAGTTATGCCGAGGGAAAACGGCTACGACGAACGGACGGGCTGGAGTGCTGGCTGTGTATCAACAGCGGTATGGCGTAGGGAGTTGCTTACCGAAAATCGTGATTAGGTTAGACGGCAAGGGATAGAGCTGTTGGACGGTTTTCAATACGGCGTAGAGCGATTGTATTAGTGGTTTACTTCTCATTAGCTTGCTGGTTAATTTCATGAAGAGGATTTGTACTATTGGCTTTTAACATATAATCGCTTAGTCTACTCTGCCCTTTAGCAGGCTTACGCACGGAAAGGAGGATGAAAGATATGCTGGTCTTGGGCAATGCTGGCCTCTGGCATGCATCCCCTTTTCATGACTGCTAATTGCTAATAATCTCCTATCAGACTGTCAATCAACATGGCTTTATTGCCGGGAGATCCTGCACCACTAACCTCTTGTCAATTCTGAACGAATGGACCCGCCTGCTGGACGAAAGGGAGCCAGTAGATGCAGTGTACCTCGATTTTGCCAAGGCATTTGACAGTGTCCCACATGAGCGGCTGTTGCATAAATTGAAGTCTTTGGGAATTGAGGGTAATGTACTCGAATGGATCAGAGATTTTCTAGTAGGGAGCCTGGAGGCAACAATGTGTCAGTATTAATGGGTCTGTATCAGACTGGGCTTCAGTGCGCAGCGGCGTGCCACAAGGAAGTGTTCTCAGGCCTATTCTATTCATTTCATTTATAAACGATCTGCCAGAAGCCACTATGCAGAGGGTGGATGCAGCGTCGCCAATATATGGATTTTTAAGCCCAAAGCGTCGCCGGCCATTTTAAAGATGCGTCGCCGGGTAATTTTTAATGAAAAGCCATTTGAACTTATTTAAAGGTTGCATGCACGTGTTACCCCAAATAACTAATTTTACCCTAAAAACAGTCCGATTGTACAGCATGTGTCAAGTGAACACGTAATAAAGCAGTCTGACCGCTCTAATGTGACCGAAACTACGCAATCAAAAAAACGTTGTTTACATTTTTTGCGGGAACTCATCGCAACTTATTTCCGGACAAGCTTCGCTGCATCGTAATCCATCCAACGTACCGGAAACCTTACTTTTTTTCTAAATAGTTGGCCGAAGACTGAGAAATATATTAAATGCAAGAATTTCAATCTAAATGTGTCGGCAAGATCTTCTGAAGGCGAAAATTTGGCTACTGAAGCATCACCAAAGATCTTGCAATATTCATCCACTCTCTGCACAGTGGGCCAGAAGCTGTGTCTAGCATTTGCTCGATGTATGCTGACGCCACAAAAATTTATAATGCAGTGAAGAATAAGTCGCAAAAAATACAGTTGCAAGGTGATCTTGACAGGCTGGTTGACTGGGCTGATAAGTGGCAGCTGCCAGCTGCGTTTTAATGCTGACAAATGTAAAGTTATCCACCTTGGCAAGAATAATGAACAGCAAGATTACAGTATGAGAAGACACGGTTGCAACGACAGAGTGATGATGTCGAATTCGACAACGGAAAAGGATTAAGGAGTTAATATCAACAATGAGTTGAAATTTTCTAAGCATATTGAAGGTCAAGACGGACCGTCAAGTTAATAAAGCCAATAAACAACTTGGACTGATCAGACGCTCTTTCGAGTTCCTAGATGCAGAAACAATGAAGCAGTTGTTTGTTGCTGTCGTGCGCCCAAACCTAGAGTTTGGAAACGTCGTGTGGTCACCAAAATTTGAAAAGGACAAAAATTTAGTAGAGAGTGTTCAAAGACACGCAACAAGGATAGTTCCGGCTTCCGGGCTTGAAAGGCAAGTCCTATGAGGAAAGATTAAAGATTATGAAGCTTCCAAGCCTCCGTTATCAACGTCTGCGTGGCGACCTCATTGAAGTATACAAGTATACTCATGGCTTATACAAGGTCCCAGAAGGATTACTAGAATTTGAAACAAGAACAGCGTTGGAACTTGGAACACATCCATCATGATCCATGCAACAACATTTCTTCTCGCTTCGAGTCACCGACATGTGGAACAGCCTCCCTGATAGCATCGTTGACACTCCAAGTATGAACATCTTCAAAAACAGACTAGACAAAGGCAACAAAGCTATGCAGGAGCATATGTTCAGTCTTAAAATGCATAGCAAATTATGGACCAGGCAATAAGTCCAGCAGCTATCTCAATCAATCGTCAGCTATGGAAAGATTGGGTTACAAAGGCTGCAGGCTGGATCCCTTGTGAATCAAGTCACGAAAAGTTCAAGAATTGGCAACAGGCCATGGGCCTATTTCTTCAACGCCAACAATTCTATTCTATTCTATTCTATTCTATTCTATGACTGAAGTCTGAAGATAGTTTGAACTTTGAAGTAGCTACTAGACTTCCACCAGGTTCAATATGGTGCTAGGCATTTCAAATCTAAATATATATTTTTCCATAGCTAATAGCTGTATCTAGTCTGTTCTTGAACGCGTTCATACTTGGAGCGTTTATTGCGACCCACACAAATTGCCACTCCACATGGCACAGAGACTGCACTTAAGTGACATAACTTGTTGCTTGTCATTAATAACTGTGTAGCTAAATAACTGTTTTTTTTTAATTCCTGTCAAGAGTTCTGTAGTATGAAAGTTTAACCTGATAATGTCTACAAAAGTACGTCAGATAATAGCTAAGAAGGTGAGATAATTTAAAGATTTCGAAAGTGTGCTAGTGTAACTCATGTTTAACAGTTTAAGTATAATGAAAATTTGAAAGTGTTAATAATTATTTGTGTGTAGGTAAATGCTTTGGATAAATATGTAATAAAATAAATGATAGAAAAGGTGTTTCCCAGAGGATAAATCATCATGTAATTACAGTAACTTCTGGTGGTTGAATATAGACAAAATGAATTGACAAATTTATGTTTTCCCAAATTCTTATACACATGGTGGCAGGGAATTATTGTGAGTACTTATCGGTCCACCGCCGTGCGTCGGTCTTAACCCTTCGCAAGGCCCCATGCCCTTGGCCCTTGGGCCCCTCTTGCAAGTTGTAATGGTCTAAACTCAACAGTTCGACCCCATCCCCATGGTCTCATCACAACTCCCTTTAGAAATATGTGGAGTTTCGAAATTGATAGTAATAAATCAATAAATATTTTAACTGGGAAATTCCTTAGTTACTTACGTTGGTTCCACAATGCTTCTACAAGCTACCTATTAAATAATTTATTTGTACAGAAAAACCTGTTAAAAATGGTTGGCACCTTTTAAAATGGCCTTTACCATATCATATTTCTTCAGTATTAAATAAGTAAAATGGCACATTCTTCATCATGATGTTTAAAAGTCTTTATAAAAAGTTCTATTTACCTAAAAATTTTCAAAAATGTTGCTTAATATTACAGATTTGGAATAGCATATATTAACTGTGCAAGATTTCAATTCAGGAATCGAATCAAGCTCAATCACTGAACTCAAGTACCGGTATGACAGATATCATTATAACATTTTTGATTATTTAAGGAATATTTATTGGTTATTGAAAGTTTATTTTTTTTGCTTCTTTGTTAAGGAATTGTTATCAATTAAGTCTGACAATTAGTAATTTAGTATAATAAAGAATTCTACCAAACCTGCAATGGTGACAATTGTACAATAAAATTAATCATTATCATTAAAATGCCATCTCTCTATTCAGTGTATTGAAAAAATTACAAATTTTATGTTCTCTATTAAACCCTAACACCATCTTTTCTGACTAAGTCATTTATTCATCAATAGCCAGACTGGATTTGTAAAATTACGAAATAGGGGTTAGAAATCCAGACAAAATTGCATCTGGTTATCTGTAACTGGTTTGAACTGAAAAACTGGAAAAAAATAAACTACATTGCCAAACCGTCTAAAAATACCAACTTTGTTAGGTTAGGGTTGGAGTTAGGGTTTAGGTGTGTTCTATAAAACACTTCTTTATATTGCTATACACCTTTCTCCTTTCTTCATGGATTAGGTCCAGGCCATCCAGCCAGGTCAAGTTCTTTTTATTTTAATTTTTTTTTGTGAAATTTTCATAGGTCATTGGGTACAAAATAATCAATTTGAATAAGTGAAAATATAATTATATACCTATACTGGTATCTATGTATATCATATTCTATCTTATATTTATATGCTTCAATCAGCCTTATATATTTTAATCCAATTAAAGTTTTTGCTTGCTTATGAAAATTAAAATTAATATTAAGATTATTTTCCACCAAGAATCTGACAGGTTACTGATGGTAAAGTGAGATAAGTTCTGAAATATATTTTGGATAAAGGGTTCACCATAATCATAGTGATTATTTTTGCAACTATGCAGTGATGAGTTTGGGAAAACATGTCTTCACGAGTTCATATTATATATAAGCTTATGAATTTTAATAAACACTAACCCTCACATTGTTGTCCAGGTGCAGCGTGGTATTTCTGGCATGAAAATTGGCTCCTCTGTCCCTGAGTTGAGAAAACTTACTGATCACCTAATAACCTTCTTGAAGGTGAACAGTTAATTAGTACTAGTTGAGCTACTGAATTACACTGATACGTACTGTTACATATACACATGTTGTTACGGTACACTAGTTATATAGGTACTGCTCATTTGATCACTGTTGTATTCTTCTGAAATAACTAATGTTTTACTTCATTAGAGCATCCTGAGTCTATGGCTGAAATGGCTTTAATGTATTGAGAAATAGGTGATTATTGTGGTGGTGAGAAACAGATGAATATTTAATAGATGATTCCAATTAAAAAAAAATGGAGTAGACTCTAGAATTAGTCTTCAATTTTAGAACTGGAATGGTTTCAATACTTGAAAAATGGAAGTAGTAGTAGTTGACGTGTTTGAATTGGTAACTAAGTTTCCACCCTATCTATATCAATTTTGTCTAATATTTAGTATATCTATCAATTTAGTCAATCAATTGGAGTCAATAGCAGGCTTATTTACATGCTTCATTTTTATTCATTTTCCATTTATTTTAAGCTATATTTGCCACTACTATTTTCCAATATTGTTGTTGAGTTCTCAACCCCCATGATCAATATTATATTATCAATTTGACTTCTCTAGAGTCAGAATAATATCATATATTTTTATTTTTACAGGTAAACCCAAAGGTAGCAACACTACAGGCTCCATGCAACAACACTTCTGCTCAAGGCTGCTTTCGTTTTGATGTCTCACTGAAAAAACTAAACTATGCCCTCATTTCTAACCCTCCCTGTGAATCTCATCAGAGATCTAAAGTGTATGTATTACAATTTTTGCCTTTCTTGATTCTTAATATATAATCGAATAAAATATACTTTGTATGTGTACAAATGAAATTTTCAGTACTAGCCAAGTTCAGTTACTGAACTGTATTGACATTCCACTAGCATATATTAGCTTTCTTTGTTTCTTGAGTGATACTTTTCAGTTACACCCTGTAAATTTTTCAAAATTAATTGCAAGAAATCACTTTCCTAAAAAAATTGAGCCAAATTTAGTGTTAAAAAGTACTAATTTCATCTTTCTATAAACTCAGTATTATTCATGTTACAGTTAAATGCCTTTTTTAGGAATTAATGAAAGTTCTGGCAGCCTATCAGGCTGTATTGTATTTTTGTTTCTACAGTATTATTGTTCAAGGCATGAAATAAATCGGAACCAAACAAGTTAGTAGCACATTTGGTTTCATTTGTGATTGTTTTGTTACCTTTTTAGTGTTTTTTATGATAATGTATTACATTTTCTTTCATTAGGCTTCATAAGCTTCTTTTAGTAGGATGCCTGTCCTTTAATTGTGATTCTCATTGTTTTCAGTTGTGAATTGCAAGACCTTGGCTCTTCTCTTGTACATAAAATAGAGACTGATGACACGCTCTTGTCTGCCTATGTCCACCCTCACCCAAACGATGATGACATGCTACTTTCTCTTACAGGTCAGTTAGACTTTTTGTTGTCATTTTGTTCAAACTGGAAAATGCACGTGATGCAATCTGGGAAACATACACTTTAGAAGACAAATTATTGTGAAGAGGATTCATAAAATCTTTATGTAGGTATTTTGTGAAATGTTTACTGCATTGAATAATTACAGGCTGTCTTTTGAAATGCATGTGAGGTATCCTTATTTATCAACTAAAGTACAGTAATGATATTTCCTGCAATAAATAGGAACCTGTCATTGATTAAGTAACTATTTGGAGCTCTTCTTTCATGTGATTGTATTCTTTTTTTCAGATCTTCTTGGTTTTAAATTGTAAGATTGTTTGAGGCAATTTTGGTCAAATATTTGACTTTTTGTATTCCAGTAGGTATTTAGTAGCAAATAGCAATTGATTGTAATGAGATCTTGTTTACTTTTGTTTCAGTACCGGCTGGGGAGCCGTGCTGCGAGGTGCTTCAAAATGTGCTCAAACAGCCTTCAAATTTCTGGCATCAGAGCGATCTGTTGAGCCTCATCCCCAAGCAAAGTGTGGTGGTTGAGTTCAGGTCTGCTATTTGCCAACGGCTACTTATAGTCTTCTTAGAAAATTGTTCCTGTTAATAGTATTCAAAATCGAGAAAGTTTAAGAAAGCTTTATCCTTTAGACTAGCTATGTATACTTGATTTTTTTGTTGTTCTCCTAGGCAATCCTTTGCACCAATTCAAGTCACTAAAAAAAGATTAAAAGATTAATAATGTTTTGAGGGATGTCTGAGGGAAATGTGTTGCCCAGTAAATAGGTAAATGTCAATTCGATGGTAAATCAATTTTATTTAACGATTTTCCATTGTTATGATTACTATATGCTCATGACTGAAATCATATTCAATAATTTATTTTTCTCTGCTAGATGAAAAAGAGGAACTTTTTATTATTAATAATATTTTGATCTTGCAGCTCACCAAACATTGCAAAACCTTTTCATGTTGGGCACCTTCGGTCCACAATCTTGGGTGGCTGTCTGAGCCGCATGCATGCAGCGCTTGGTCACCACGTCATCAGACTCAACTACCTGGGTGACTGGGGCACTCAGTTCGGTCTCCTTAAGTATGGGTAAGTATTTATTTTCAAACAAAACTGATCAGCAAAAACTATAATGCTGCTCACATGTCGCCAACACCTTTTCTCTTGTATCCTTCTTGCTGGTATTCATGATGCTTGCTCTTGTATTTATGATGCCGGTTACTTTTTTCTTGCATTTTGACGCTAACTGGAATTGTTTTACCAGTTGTGACGCTCGATCCATCACCCGCTCAGACCTTCTAGAAGACCCCATTAAGAAGCTATATGAAGTCTATGTGTGGGCAAACAAGCAGGCAGAGACAGACCCCAACGTCCACGCAGAGGCATCTCAATTATTTTCTAGAATGGAACATGGCGATGAACAGGCGCTGGAGCAGTGGAGATTCTTCAGAGACATCTCTGTAAAAGTGCGCCTATGAAGTAAAGAAGGATTGATGTTCTACATTATTGACTTAAGATGGTCTGTTGGAGATTTAGAATTGAATCGAGGATACATGTATGTGGAGTTTGGACATGTTGATCTATTTCTCACAGATTCGATACACATTTTGGAAATTTGTGTTCAAGTGCTGTGGATGATAGATTTTGTGATTCCAATGCATGGGACCTTGAGTTGGATGTACTGCGAATAATTTTAGACTAGAAGATATTAATTTCTACTAATTGAGCACGAGATAGAACTATACTAAACCAATTCACTTATCAATCCTGCTTTCTATTATGCTGCAACTTGAATAAAGCTTGTATTGTGTCTCTGGACAGGATCTGAATAAAACATACAAGCGTCTAGGTATCAGCTTTGACGAGTATCACGGCGAGAGCGACTACCCAGCCGCCAGTTGTGCAGCGATACTGCGGCAGATGGAGGACTGCGGTCTCCTTGAACTGCACGAGGACGGTCGTAAAATGTACGAGTTTACCCCCGGCCGCAAAGTCACGGTCGTTAAGAGCGACGGCTCGAGCATCTACCTCTCCCGAGACATCGCGGCTGCTGTAGATCGCTACCAAAAGTGAGGTTTGTTGTGCATACGGTCAAGGGGACTAGTACATAAATCTGAGGTGGCGGAAATTCCCAAATGTAAATCGGTTTAATTAAGCATTAAATTTTTGGCTAGTCTAACGACCTATCAGTGCAATGACGCTCATGTGATTGAACTGAATAAGGTAAATGTTTGCTCGTGAGAATGAAAAAGTGGAATCATGCGTACAAAGCATAAAAAATGCCAGTGGGAACGACGAAAGAATGATTCCTTTTATTTATAGTTCATCAATGAGTTGATATTGAGAAAATATTACAAAATTACATTACAATAGTCAAATTTGTATACAAACGATGAGAAATCTTGAAATCTTTGTTATTTATCTTCTAATCGAACTTACAGGTTCGGGTTCGACCATCACTACTACGTCGTGGACATGACTCAAATAGACCACTTCAGAGCGCTCTTCAGTGCCCTTACGGCGCTGCAGTATCCCTGGGCTCGCCGGATGCGACACGTACGGTAATTGCTATTCTACCGTCTGAAATAGAATTATATTATCTTTATTTAATCGACCCATTTATCTCTTCAACAGCATTTGTTGCTGACTCACTGTTTGTTTAATATGCCTGCTTTATGGATGAATTCTATTAGTATATTTCATTTTTTGCTGAGTCTTCCTATATAATTATTTTAAAATGTTGACCATACACAATTAAACGCAAAATAAAGTAAAAGAATATATCAATGTCAATTACTAAAATGTACTACAGTCAATATAGCTCAAGTTATCGTAACAGATTCGATGGATAATAAGATTATTCTGCACCAGAAGTCGTCGAAAGAACAAATTTCTGTGTGAAATTTGTCCTATAATTTATCCTGCGTGAAATTTGTCCTATAATTTATCTTGCGTCTGGATCTAATTATATTTTTTATACTAAAATTCATAAACCGCTGAATGGCAACGGCAAAGCCACTGCCAATATCTGAAATTTATAGCAGGCTTTGCAGCACTAGTAACTAACAGGTATGCTCTTAATAAGTTTCTACTAAGCACAGCATTCTTGTCGTTAATTTCCATTTGTTTTGTAGATTCGGTCGTATTAAAGGCCTAAGCAGCCGCAAGGGCTCGACGTTATTCCTGAGCGACCTCCTCGATGACGGACGCAAGCTGATGATGAAGCAACAAACTCAAACAAGCAGTACGAACGAATCCTCATCACAAGATTAACCCTTGAGTTATTTGAAATCTGTCTGGCTTTGATTATTTCTTGAATACGATTTGCATATAGCTCTTTGTTTGCAGATGCATTTGCCATCGGCTATGCTGTTCCTATCTGATTTCCTAGTAACGAATGTTATAGTCAACATACATACTATTGATTATAGTCAAAACTGCAGTAGATTTTTCTAAACAAATTCGGGAGGATTTTTCCCAAAACTGGCTTGAAATCTCTTTGTTATTGCTCATGCCTAGTTTAATTTGTACGACTTAAAACTACGCAAAGAGCAATAATTTGATGACATTGCATGTATTCTTTATTAAGATGCTTGTATCTCTTACAAAAATCCATAAACGAAAATCATATTCTCCTCTTGCAAAAAATTCAAGTATATAACTATCGTATCAAAGTTAAAAATTAATTGTTTACGATTGTTGGTGCAGCGACGTTGGTGAGCGGAAACGACGCCGTGGCAGCGGCTGACGCTCTAGCGCTGTCAGCCATCGTCGTGGCAGACCTCAGGCAGCGGCGGCACAGGGACTACGACTTCTCCTGGCAGGCAGCACTTAGGGTGCGTCTCATGACTGTATCGTCTTATCAGATTTTCTAATAATCATTGCTGCCCTCAGGGTGCGTCTCATTGTGTCGCCTAGCTTACCAAATTAAAAAGTTAAGTATTACTAAGTGTATGAATATTTTTTTCACAAGGACTACGACTTCTCCTGGCAGGCAGTGCTTAGTAGGGGGGGCCTCAGGACCGCATCGCCTTAACTAACAGCTTTTCTAATAATATAGCTGCCTTCAGGGTGCGCCGCATTATCGAGCTGTTCTCATGACTATATTACCTTACTAGCTTACACAATAAAGAGGTTAAGTATTTTCAAGTGTATGACTATTATGTTGTCCCTTCAGAGCACCGGAGACACGGGGGTGCGGCTGCAGTACACGCACTGCAGGCTGGTGCAGCTGGAGCAGAACTGCGGCGTAGCGCTCAATCTCGACGCACAGTTGCAGAGCCTTGCTTCAGAGCCCGCGGCCCTCGCCTGTGTTGCGCTTATTGCTAAGTAAGTTTCAACTAGCCTAGGTAAGTTTCAATTTCTTGCTAAGTAAGTTTAAACGAGCCTAAGTTAGTTTCAATTTCTTGCTAAGTAAGTTTCAGAATGGGTAGTGTTGAGTGTGCGTCATCGAACCTAACGTAGGTAGTGTTAATTAAATGTCATTGAACCCAAAATTGAACTCACTAGACAGGTACTCTTCTAAACCTGAAAATGAAGTCGTTTGAGTTGTGAAAGTAGGACATTTAAAGGAGCCATTAACGATTACATTTGATGTTCATTGATGCGAGTAACTGACAATCTCATGCAAATTCTACGCCTATGTAAATCAGAATTTTTATTTGCTATCAAAACTGTCATAATTAGATTTAAAAATTGTAGGAACTAATTAATTATAAAATAATTGAATTCATTGCAGGTACGAGGAAATACTTTATGAGTTCCACGAAAGTCTCGAGCCCTACATCCTGGTCTCCTACCTTTTCAAGTTAAGGTATGGTTCACAATTTTTCCTACATGCAAAAAGACCTAAAGATTTTTGGCTTCTGAATTTTCATTTCACATGTTTTTTACAATTTCTGAATATAATTGGAGATAGTTATACATTACATTAATATAATATATTATATATTATTGAAGATAATTGCAATTTTAATGTATTATGTTGAATTGATAAGATAATATTATTTGTTATACTACTACTAATTAGAAACCTGTTAATTTGCCTCATATAATTGTTAATGGATTTGGAGGAATATGAAAGTTTAGGAATTTCACTTCTGTGTAGGTACTTTTTTTGCTAGAGAGTGCAGGTTTATAATTTCAGTGCTATTTATTTATCTCAACCAGAAATACCGCTGAGAACAGAATCACCGCTATTTATTTTCTAAAGGCGTAACTGGGTGAAATGTCCCTTGAGTGTAGTTCTAAGTAACTGCATAATGCCATTAATTGCTCAAACCTTTAAGGAAGTCATGCATTGCAACTAAGTCCATGACAAAACAAGAAATTCTGGTCGAGCCAATGAGATTTACTGGGCTTAGTCGTATTCTCTCTTTCAGCAAGAGTAGCAACAAAATGCTTTATTTTGACTAATTATCTCTCCTATTCAAACAGCGTCAATAAAATGCTTTATTTATAGTCGTATACCGGTACTCTCCTACAGCAACAGCATTAATAAAATGCTTTATTTTTAGTCATATTCTCTCCTACAGCAACAGCATTAATAAAATGTTTTATTTTTAGTCATAGTCTCTCCGACAGCAACATCATTAATAAAATGCTTTATGTTTAGTTGTATTCTCTCCTATAGCAACAGCATTAATAAAATGCTTTATTTTAGTCATATTCTCTCCTACAGCCACAGCATCAATAAAGCGCTTTACAAGCTCAAGGTGCGTGATGCTCCTCGCGACGTGGCGGAAGCCAGACTGGCACTGTTCGTTGCAGCGCGCCACACCCTGGCTGCCGGACTAACCTTACTGGGACTTCAGCCTCTCGACAAAATGTGATTGACGGACTCAGCGACTTCTGATCCGTGAAACTATGCTAGATGGCTCCGAATCCATGAAGAATTTACAGTAATTGTGAAATTTATGCGTGTAAAATCCCGGGATCGAAATCCTACAATGGAAGGCCATAGGTACTATAGATTCTTGAATCTTATACCTAAACCCCTGTCCTCGTGTTTCATTCTTCAATTTGGCAATTAGACTTCCCTTTTTTGAGTATTTATGTTTATTTTGCCTAAAAGGCAGACAAATGTTTGAGAATCTCGAATGTGTAGCAGCACTACTGATGGCTGCTTTTGTCACTTGCAAATACGGTTTGATATCTTGAATAAATTTCATGGTGAAATAAATTTATAATACTAATCACCTATGGTTGCGAGATTAAATGTTGAAAAAATTACCATGTATTGTGGATGGTTTCTTAGTACTATCAACGTTTCATGCTTCATGATCTTCCTTACTAATCTCACCGTGAAAGCAATGAAACCGTGCAGGGATTATTTATATATGTGAACATGTACATACTCGGTTGTTGAATTTTGTACTGATCTCAATAGAAATGTTCAACCTTTTGCCCCTTGTTTCATATCCTCCAAACTTTATTGTCTTTTCAAATAATAACGCTTTTGTGATCCAATTCTCATCAAGAAAAGAAAACGACGATAGCAGTACCTGGACAGCGACATAAATCACGGAACTTGTCAGCTATGGCTGCCACTGAATAGAAGAGGACACAGCTGATCGTCAGCTCGATTTTCTTGCGCGTTCAGCCTTATTGGTTCGATTTAACGCTCATTGATGTTGTTTTTCTCATCATAGTCGCATTCATAAACCTCATTTTGCGATGTGGGTTGCCTAACCATGTCGTTTCCGTTGTCCAAACAGAAGCGTTGCATTCTGTCCGCGAATGACGGGATCACATTCGGAAGAGAAGAAAAACGTGATATAGACAACAGACTAGATAAAGCTATGGAAAAATATATGTTCAGATTTGAAATGCCTAGCACCATATCGAACCCGGTGGAAGTCTAGTAGCTACTTCAAACTATCGTCAGTCATGAAAAGATCCGGTCAAATGACACGATTTTAGATCTTCTGTGAACAAGGCACGAAAAGGAAAAGAATCGGCACCAGGCCTACACTTCAGCGCCGAGATCACTATGTTATGTTATGTAGACAAATGACGATAATGTTAGGATGCCGTGTCGGCTACAAGATCGATCCATTCACTATTTCGAGAACCATCATCTGTTTTCAAAACATCTCACCAGAAGTCCTATGGAATTTCGCGCTCCTAGGGGGATTGTTCCTGAGCGCCCCACCGCTGAGCTCGCGGTGTCTGACTACAAGTCTCAGTTGTTGGGTCAAGTTATTATTTAGGTAGGATTCCTTACATTAAGTTATTATGTAGGTAGGATTCCTTACATTTCCCTTCTCTGTCTCTCTCGTGCGGGTGGACGCCGTCCCGTGTAAGCGACCTCTTGTTCGAGTGTCTTCGTTTCTGTTGTTTTTTCACCTGTCCCTCCTTGTCACTTCGTCTCTTCGAGATGCTAACGCTGCTTCCTTCGAGCCAGCTTCAGCGGGCTGGACATCTGAGACCTTCCGCCCCTTGTGGGGATAAATAATTTTAGATTTTGAATAATTGAGACCTTTCGCCTAGCTGACGATATTATATTTTGACCTTCGGTGCGAAATAGCTTGGAAGCTGAAGCGCTAGCAAACCATTATACTATACTACAACTCTACAAGTCTACTACTACTATTCAAAACATCATTTTCGACATTCATAGCGATGCTCACTTACACTTAATTTCAAGCGAATATTTTCAAACAAGTTTGCTTCATGTTATTAAATCATATCTGAAACTCACTGAATAAAGCACGCATAGATTCGTCGTTTAGTTTCGTTTGATAGGATAGAAGTATTTATATGTATTATACTCGCCCACTAATGAACTGTAGCCCGATTTCAAGTTTCAGTAAAATTCAATACGGCATAAACAATTTTTTTATGTACATCTTGCTCCAATGATTCCGGCGTGCAAGTTTGTTACACGAAATTCCAAATGTAATCTTATCCATCGCAATAGGTATATGAAGGGTGTTGATAAAGTTGATGATTTGCATACAGTGGGCAACAAAATTCAAAGACGGTGGGTCCCGCCCGCCCGGTAATGTATATGCTAACTACATTCATCTTTATTTATAATGACTCTGGAGCTATATCAGTAGTTTCTTCCTAATAATTAGTGATAATTTTTTATAAAATAATAGGTGTATCTTGCTTTTAATCGCAAATGCTTGACGGAAGAATGCTTAAATTTATTACTGGTGCGCTGACTGCGATGTCTGACACCACAGCACAAGTCTTCTGACTAAAAAAAATTTTAGTGAAAATTAAAATGCTAGAAAAACATTGCGAAATATTTGATAATTAGTGGGAAGTTAAACTTGCAATAGATATTTCAATTGTTAGACACTTCTACTTGATATAAATAATTTTTCGAAGAATGTCCGGATTGCAGAAAGTATCACTTTCGTGTTTCAAATCGCGATTATTTTTTTTAAATCAAACAGTGAAAAACACGTTCTTGAAACAATGCAGTGTCTCCCTGCAGATAGAATCTGTAATTTCAACGAGGCGTAACGCATAGGACTGTTTAATTTTGGCTGTATTATCAGTACGGGTTTATTTTTGTCACCTCATAACATGAAGCTACATTCACTGTTGGCTCCGCGCTGTTAAGAATTATCACCTTACGAAATAATGGGAGGCACGTGTGCTCAAGACCGTTGGCCACGCTATAGTTAGACCACGATTCTGCCTGCAGTTGTTGTCAAGCTGATCGATGTCACTTTCAGAACGACCTCTGAGGCGTCACTATCTTTTTATCATTGTTCTGATTGCATTTAGATCTTAGGACCAATTAGATAATACTGCGATGAAGTGTTTTTTCCCTATAGAAATCTTGCTTCATCCCTGTACCATGATTAGGCATGAGGGCTCAAGTTACGTTTTGAGATTAGTTTAGAATTGCGGCAGATGATGCCTACACGAGCCGGCAGGCGTTTATACGGGAGAAGGTCGTTCGAAGGACGAGCGGCTTTCTTTCGCTAACCCAAGGAACTTGCTCAGTTTGAAAATTATTGCGATCATAAGTTTATAATATAATTCATGACACACAATTTACTGCTTATTGTTTTTCAAATATATTGTTTGTCACTTTGTAGAATGGAGTCAAAAAGTAAATGATCAGTGAACACACCGAATACTATTTCAACAATAGCAAATTATATTTTTCTTGATACATTGATGTGATTTTCTGTGTTGGCTTCTGTACTTGAGTGGCATGAATTTTTCTACCAGATTTGACTTGGATGACTTGCCGAATGAGTGCTGTAGCACTGCAGAAGCACCGGCAAAATATTATATTATGCTTCAGCCCCCGGGCAACAGTGTTACTTGATGCTTCGTTATGAACTTGTTAATTCTGCCTATAGGGGAATTTTCATGGGGAAACTGTTCGTAATCAATGAAAAACACCGTCGCTCTGCTAGGGATTCAGTTTTTGAGTGGGAAATAGCATAAGTTTTTATGTTTCGAATGGAAAAATTGTACTGAATGAAATTGAGACATCTAACAGTGAAAATATTTGTATATGCGATATCTCATTGGAAAATTTGGTTTTTGATGAATATTAGTGACTATTTGAGTATTTTTATATTTCGCTGATAAAATTTGTGGTTAAAAATGAGTTGTGGTCAAACGTAAAACGTTAAAACGTTGTGGTCAAACGTTATGTTTGTGGTCAAACGTAAAATCAAAATGACGAAAACATATCAATAACAGAGTGAAAAAAATTGCCTGTAATGAATTTTAAGAACTTCGGATGCCTATTTAAGGGATGCTTTCCCACGACTTTTTATTTTAACTTCAATTCTTATAGCAAGGAAGAAATAGATTTACTTTGCCACGCCAAGGTTTTGTATAGATCAATCTAGTGAAATTGTTTTCGTTATCTGCTCTGCATTGTTTATTTCTCTAACTTCGTCCGTCCAAACATGTTGGATTTTTTACAAACGATGTTAGTTTTCCACATTCGATGAACCTCAATTAGTTGAATTTGATATCACATAAGACAGACTAAAAAAATGAACATCCGCACGTCCGAGACTTTTGTATATAACTAAATTTAAATGAAACTCTTTCCAAAGGTAACTTTATTTTATTTGTCAAAAAATGTGAGAAATAAAGTATTATGTAGTTTTTTCATATGGTTGATGAGTAAAGTAGGTATTATGTAGTTTTTTCGTATGGTTATATGATACCGGCACCCGACTCATCATTCAATGATAGATAATCAGCAGGCACAACAAAACGGACGTCAAGCACTGAACCGTCCCTCATTTTCCAGAATTTAATCTGGCACATTGCTGATATATTATGCCAATCGGCGCATTGCAATATGAGCTAAACTTCAGAAAAACTTAATGTTTACTATTGGCAACGGACATTAGGCCACTAATTCATTACTTAAAATCTCCAAGATATCAGTAATCGAATACCAACCGAATGATGTTCTGACAATCATCGAGTATATTTATTTATAGTCTGTTAGTGCGAATATGTCACGATTCGTGAATTACAATGGCACGAGCTGTAATACTGTGACGTGCAAAATAGCACGCAGGTGACATGCTTGAAGGCGGTCATGCGCATCGCTGACGGTTGCCCGCCTATATAAGCAAGCGCCGCATTCCCTGTCACCCAGACGCCGCTAGCTGTCGTAGTGTGAGTACGAGACGCTCCTCTTGACCTTTTTTTAATTAATGTTGTATAGCATGTGTCGTACTTTGTATGACTGTTTCGTTAGTAGTTGAAAAAAAATTAAGAATATTAAATTCAATCGTATATTTTTTTTATACGACTATACTAGCATTATCTAATTTTCAAACTTCTGGTTGAACTGTTCTCAGAAACATTTATATCTTTATAATAGTTTTATTTTTTGGGGCGATGTATTCGCAACAAACTTTTGATTATATTATATATTTAGGCTATGCTTTGACCTTACCATCCACTAATCACACTCATTGCTTCAGACACCGCAAGTCTTGAACATAATTATCAAAAAAATAGCACCTCATATTCTCTTCGCAGGACACTAGTCCCTTAGACCGTAATTAGGACCAGCAAGGTGGCGCCGTGCGCAGAGGCGTTCCGGCCCAGCGTGGGACCCGTAGCGTCGAGTGTGGAGTGCGTGGTGGAGGTTCTCATCAAGGTTCATCTTAAGGGAGTGTCGGCTGACATCGCCAAGTATATTCAAGTTGAGCCTATAGTCTCTACGCAAGTATTTTTCAAGCAGGTGAGAAATTTAAACGAGAAATGAACTTCAATTACGCGGCTGAAATTTCACTGTGTGTATCATGTGCAAAATATATTTGCGACGGGTATGTCGGCTGACATCTCCAAATACATTCAAGTTGAGCCTATAGTCTCTACACAAGTATTTTTCAAACAGGTAAGAAATTTAAACGAGAAATGTACTTCAATTATGCGGTTGAAATTTCACTGTAGGTATCGTTTACAATTATTGTGAAAATATTTGCGACGGGTTTGTCTGCTGACAGTAAAGTGAAGCCTATAGTCTGTACGCAAATATTTTTCAGACAGATAAGAGGAAGGGAAGTGAAATTCAATTATGCGGACAACATTGTACTTTGAGTATTGTATACAATTATTGTGAGATTTTTTGCGACAAGTATGTGGTGGTGAGAAGTAAGTTCATTTATAGGCCAGCCACCAACGAGAAATAATTTTGAGCTTCAGATGAAAACGTACTAATAATATTGAAACTAAGATACAGAAACACGATAGCGAGCAGGAAGTATGTTGAAATATAAAAATATAAGTTTTATAAACATTTAATATTCCAAGATATGCGTTCTTGGCTTATTTGACGTTAATTTTATAATGTCTAGTTTGTATGAAATCTGTTTTTTGCAAAACGCTAAATTGACAGATATTTCTTATCGCAGAACATAAATTTTCAACATAAAATGTAACATTGAATTCATATAACATAACTCAATAAATTGAATATACGCTCCTATTAATTAAAATATATTATCAACTTTCAGTTGTACGTGAGTAATTTTTTTAATAGTTACTGTTATTAAAAATATAGATTTTTGAAATTTACAACTAATTTTGAACTCTTCTGCCATCGTAATGCAAGTTAACCTGGCTACCTTATACATCTAAGCCCCTAGTGAAGAGGTATATGATGTACTGATGAAACCTTTTTTATGAGTTGAAAATGCAATAGTGGGTCCATATCTTCATTGCATGAGCTTGCGTACTGAATGCAACGCCGCGATAAATGAACGCAATGAGTTGTAGGTGGGTCATCTTATGATAAAATTATGATATTAACTGTCGTGTCATTGGTGTTTCTTTTCATATGAAAATTATCTTGACAACATTGTTTTTGAATGCACGGAACGATGAAGGGGTATGATCGTATAACCTTCAAATCGGAAATATCCAAATATCCATGCTGTAGACGAACTAAAATTTATAGAGTAAGATCTAATTATAAAGTATTATTGAGTTCGGCTTCAGTCCTTCATTTATGAAATTGTACTCACTCGTGGTTATTTATTTTTACCTAGAGGAAGGCAGAGGAATTCGAGAAGTCAGTGCTTCCTGCCACTACGACTTCGTTTTTTGGAACGGAGCTTCTTACCAACGATCTCCTGTCTCCTGAAGACGAAATTGAATACAAGACCCTTGCGACGAAACGTGTCACTTTCTGTGACTACATCACTGCCGAAGACGAGTGTCGTGCCAAGCTAGCTGGTGATCTGTCATCGATAAAAGTAAAAAATACATCTCCTGGAATTTTAAAGAAAAACGGTCTTGTGAGCTACTTGAAGTCAGACGGAAGCCAAACCGAATCCTTTACCGTGGAAAATGATTCCGAATGCGAGGTCACTCCTAGAGAATTTAAAACAAATGCTGTTTTGAGTGACGACGTTATTCTTGCTGAAGAAAACAGCGTGAACTGTATTAGTTCGTTGCCTCAACCGTATAGTGGAAGTGAAAGCATTTTAATTCCTTTAAAGGATAATACAGCAAACAAAGTCGAGGCAGAACAACCATTGGAACAGAAGCTGTCAGCTCACCCAACTGACCAAACTACTCAACAAAGTCCGACTGAGTGGAAGCTTCCGGAAATTCTCCAACACGAAGTTGAAGTTTACCGGTTGAAAAACGCTACAACAGCCCAAAATCGTCGAGTAAATTACAAGATGGCCACTGAAACGGATCAAATTGCGTTCAACTCGTCATTAAAAGGTGAATGTTGCAATCTTAAAAGATTTTAAAACTTTTTTATTAGAACTTTTTAAAGCAATTGCATTATTATGTTCAGTATAACAATTACTACATAATATTCAAACAATTTTTTTCAGACTACTTAACAAAGGTCGGGCTTGAGGACCTGTGGGGTTACCTGAAGGTGCTTGGATGCTTCGTGGTGGGCGACTTGCAGTATCTCGAGCCTTCCGAGCTACTTGCCTTGCCGGTACTGGCCAGACGTCGACTGGCCACGCATTTGGCTGCCATCAAACTTAAACTGCCGCGTATGTATAATAGATAAATATTTAAGCTGCAAATCCCCATCATAGTTACAGTGACTGTTATTGTCACTATATAATAAAACGCTTTTGAACACTAAATAAATTCATTTGCCCTAATTTAAACTTGGAATTCATTAGTATGATACGCTTCTTCCTAAGCGTGATTAATATCCTTCATGCTATTTTTTAGCTTTATAATTGAGATAATTTTGTAACTCATAAACCTGAGGCCTAGGTTCAAAGTTACACACGCTTTATAGTACATCATTAAAGTAATTTCCAGCAAACTAATATAGTCAATTACATCTTATTCCCTTGGTGTAATAATAATTGTAGTCGAGGCGGAGATTTCGTTTGTGTGGGAATCATCTACGTGGTAAGAAATGCACTAAAAGTTTTTATTAAACCTGTAAGCTGAGTTCAAATTTCTGATATCGAATATAGGTTGGAATGAATTTTTCCTATGAGAAGAACTTTATTTACGAAGAAATACAGGATTTATTTATTTTGATATTGGGTTAAATTTCATAACTTGAATGTATGCACACATTCACAAAAAATTTAATTATTCATCTTTAATTACATACAAAGAATATTGTCGGCTAACTTATGAACTTGAACTGCTGCAATGCTTGCGTTAATGCTTTTCTAATTACTTAGTGCTTCGTTAGCTTTCTAATCTTGATTTTTCACGTACTAACAAAGAAGGTATTTCTAACAACAGAGATCTCTAAATTAAATTTTTGATCTCATTTTACAAGACTTCCCTTTAACTTCACTTCTTGTTTGTTTGTCCGTCTGTCTGTCTGTCTGTCTGCTACAAATCTTATAATCGATATTTAACACACTTCTACCTGTCCAATTGATCTGAAATTTTGCACACTCGCGTAAAGTTGGAGACAATGCATGAATCAATTTACAGAATAAATAATTTTATAAATTAAGATTTTTTTTCATTATTAAAAAAAAATAATTTCGCCTGCTACGAATCTTATAATCCATATATGACATAATTTGACCTGTCCAATTGACCTGAAATTTTGCACAACTGCATAAAGTCAGACACCATGCATGAATCAATTGACAGAATAAATAATTTTGAAAATTTCCAAAATTTTGATATCATAAAAAAATTTTGAAAAATAATTTTTTTTCAATGTTTGAAAATAAAATTAGAAATTCATTGTACATGTGTAACATCCAAGACACTGGATTATTCAGAAGTGTTGTCTCTAAAAAGTAATTTTTTAACGCATATTATTTTATATTCTAAGCAAGGACTACTACACACAGGACATGCATAGCCTATGTCCAGCCTCTGCTAGCAGAGGCGATCGCCTACACTATGAAAATGCTGGTGTTTTAGTGGCATCAACAAATGATATGCCCATAATTGTTTCATACAATAGTATTACAATGTGTGTAGTAGCCCTTGGTCAGAACCATAGACTTTTTGCCAGTTTTGAAGTTCAAAATTTTGTACTAAGCAAAGTAGGTACCATTTTCCTGCCTTCATACACTGATAAAAAAAATATTTAAATGGAGTCAGTATACATTTACTCATAACATTCCGGCAAAAATTCTATTGCTCTGATAAATATAATGCCTTTGGATTCAACTCTTAAACACTCTTTAAATACATTTAAAATTTTTCTATTATTAAATCTTTGCAAACGGGTAAAAAATATACTTAAATTCTAGGTTCTGAAAACTTTTACAAAAAGAAAGGATAATTCTAAAAGAAATGAGCTAATGGAAATTTTTGGAGGAGTAAACAGCTCAGGAAATGTGTTTGATTGAACTGGAACATTTTTCTTGGCAAAACATTATGACTAGGTAGTGAATACATTAGCATATACGTAATATTCCTTGCACTGAAACAGACCAGCAATACAGAAAAACTGGATATAAAAGTCATAAGCTTCGTCCAAAATTTTGCATCTTGTAGGAGTGAATGTCTGTCTAAAAGTTTATTAAATAAAATCAGTAGGCTTAAACATAAANTTGATCGTGTTCAAAAGCAGAAATTGCTTGTGTTCAGTTCAAGACTATAGTAATATGCCCGGTAATTTTTTATTAATTCTAGGTTATAATATAATTAAGTCTCCTATCGTTTGATCGCGTTAAGTAGAAGGTATCGCTTGTGTTCAGTTTAATATTATAGTAATAAGCCCAGTAACTTTTTTTTAAATTATAAGGTGTAATATATTTAAGTCTCCTATCTTTTGATCGTGTTCACAAGCAGAAATTGCTTGTGTTCAGTTCAAGACTTTAGTAATATGCCCAGTAATTTTTAATTTGTTCTAGGGTATATTATATTTAAGTTTGCTATCGATTGATCGCGTTAACTAGAAGATATCGCTTGTGTTCAGTTTAAGATTATAGTAATAAGCTCAGTAACTTTTTTTTAAATTCTAAAATACAATATATTTAAGTCTCCTATCGTTTGATCGTGTTCACAAGCAGAAATTGCTTGTGTTCAGTTGAAGACTATAGTAATATGCCCAGTTATTTTTTATTTATTTTAGGGTATATAATATATTTAAGTCTCCTATCGTTTGATCGCGTTAACTAGAAAATATCGCTTGTGTTCAGTTTAAGATTATAGTAATAAGCTCAGTAAATTATTATATTCTAAGGTATAATATATTTAAGTCTTCTATCGTTTGATCGTGTTCATAAGCAGAAATTGCTTGTATTCAGATAAAGACTATAATAATATGCCCGGTAATTTTTAATATATTCCAGGGAATAATATATTTAAGTCTCCTATCGTGTGATCGCGTTAACTAGAAAATATCGCTTATGTTCAGTTTAAGATTATAGTAATAAGCTCAGTAACATTTTTATATTCTAAGGTAGAATATAATTAAGTCTCTATCGTTTGATAGTGTTCATAAGCAGAAATTGCTTGTGTTCAGTTGAAGACTATAGTAATATGCCCAGTAATTTTTGATTTATTCTAGGGTGTAATATATTTAAATCTCCTCTCGTTTGATCGCGTTAACAAGAAATCGTTTGTGTTCAGTTTAAGATTGTAGTAATAAGCTCAGTAACTTTCTCACAAGACTTCTCTTTAACTTCACTTCTTGTTTGTTTGTCTGTCTGTCCGTCTGCTACAAATCTTATAATTGATATTTAACACACTTCTACCTGTCCAATCGATCTGAAATTTGGCACACTTGCGTAAAGTTGGAGACAATGCATGATTCAATTGACAGAATAAATAATTTTATAAATAATTTTTTTTTTCATTACTAAAGAAAAATAAAAAAATAATTTCGTCTGCTACAAATCTTATAATCCATATATGACACAATTTGAAATGTCCAATTGATCTGAAATTTTGCACGATTGCAAAGTCAGAGACAATGCATGAATCAGTTGACAGCATAAATAATTTTGAAAATTTACAAAATTTTGATATCTTACAAAAATTTTGAAAAATAATTTTTCTTTTAAATATTTGAAAATAAAATTAGAAATTCATTGTACATGTGTAACATCCAAGACACTGGATTGTTCAGAAGTGTTGTCTTTAAAAAGTAATTTTTAAACGCATATTTTTGATCTTTGATAGCACTTAACAGTGATATCTGTCTTCCTCCTTATGAAGTAATAGTTCTATCTATATATGATATCTTCTCCATACTCTCTACCTCATAATCACCACGACCAATAAAAAACAAAGAACTTGTTTCGAAAGAAAGCTCCCAATATCAATACAAATTATATGTTTATTCTGTATAATAAATAAAAATCTAATTTGAAAAATCTTAATCCTCGGATAGTTTTCAATGAAGGTTTAGTTCCCAAATGCGTTTTCGGTGCAATCTTAAAGGTCAGAAATGGAGTGAGTGTGGCTGTGCTGGGGAATGCCAGTCCACTCATCATTGTTTCGGACGATGATAAATGTTCCAAGTTGTGGGTGAGAAATGACCCTCCTAATGGGACTTGAAACCTCATATTGCCGCTCGTGATTAACAGCCGCCACTTCCACGAGAGTCAGTATGAAGCCTTTAGAAAATTAACAGCTCTAGCGCACACCCTTTGTAAAATAACATTTTTTATTTATATTTGGCTTCCATGAGCGGATATGCCCCAATTATCACAAAACTTTATTAAAGGCTTTTACTGTAAGAACAGCAACCTCATTAAAGGTGCTCAATAACAGGGGTTTATAGAAATTATATCCACAGTCTCAAAATTTCTTCTCGACGATTTCGCGTGACTTTTAATATTCTAGCTACCGCGATAAGCTGCTGCTATAAATTTCATAAATTATTTTACTGATACGATTGATTTCCATCGCCCTAGCCTCCACGAGATTCATTAACAAGTAAATGAGTATTAATTAATTTTTAAAACGTTTTTGGTATCCGACTAAAATGTTTTGACACTAAGTTCATATTTTTATAAATGACATTTTATTCAAACTATTAATTAAATGGCCGAACATATGAAAAATTCCGTGAGATTTATTGTTTCAGACTTGAATCACAATACCTGTACTCTCATTTCTCACATAATTTACTGGAATATTTTCTCTAACCTCCGGACTAGAATGTAAGAAAGACGCGTCACTGAAGGAGGTGCTGCAGGAGCAAGGTTTGGACCACGCCCTTGGGTACGTAGTGGCTCTTGGTGCTGATACCCTGGCAGACCTGCGCCTACTGACGGAGGATGACCTCGCTCCTCTGCCGCCTCTCACCAAGAGGCGACTAGCCGTCATCTCCGACAGGTGAGGGAAACTAGGGAATTAAATCTGGTATGAAATGTGCAAATTTTTTACAAAATATTGAATTGCCAACTGAAAACGAACTATTATTGTGATATGGGATAAAAAATGAATCATGATTAGTGAATTAAATGAGGAAATTTAAAGAATAAAATTTAATTGAAAAGAAACAATTGTTTTACAAAATTTTGAATTGCCAACTGAAAACGAACTATGATTATGAATTGGGATAAAAAATGAATCATGATCAGTGAAGTAAATGAGGGAATTTAAAGAATAAAATTAAATTGAAAAGAAACAATTGTTTTACAAAATATTGAATTGCGAACTGAAAATTAACTATGGTTATGAAATTGGATGAAAAATGAATCATGATTAGTGAAGTAAATGAAGGAATTTGATATATTAAGGGAATAAGCAGTTAATGGCAGAAAAATATATAGGTTGCTGAAATTTCGATAAAAAGGTGTAGCCTGATGATTTATTAGTAGGTATTTTTCGTTAATTTTAAATGTACTCAAATTTCTAAGTCAAATTCTAATGCGTTTCTACATCATTGCATTAGAAAGAATGAACGTGAAACACAGAATAGAACTAAATAGGATTTATTTTCAGTTGAAGTTTGATATTTTAAATTAATTCCAGTTTAAATGTTTAAACAAAATAAATCCACGTAATCACAAATTCACAATCACAATTTCATTAGGATTATATATTTTAGCATAAAATTTCAGCTTTGATATATTCAAAACATATATTTTCTTATCGTATATTTTTGCATGCGCAGGTGCACGGGCAAAGATAAAGATAACGGCGCTGCCCCTGACTACCTCATGTAAAGCGAAGTGTGTCCAGCTGCTACACCAGAAACACGAAAGCTGTAGCTTCACGTCCACTGGAAATCTGACTTCGATTTCTGATGGAAGATGAGTTAATGGATTTTCATTATTCTGATATTATTGCTAAATGGATACGGATTGCCTACGGGCACTTTACTGACGATGAAAAATATTTTTCCACTAGTGAATGCTATGGTTGCACTGAATTGGTTTTTCAATGCAATTTCCAATCATTACAATTCAAGCTTCAAACAAGCGGTAGAAGCTGCAACATTAAAAAAATTGTTGTGTAGCTCCATGCATGGTCTAATACATGATCGAATCAAATACTTAATCGAGGAAATGTTGCACTCAGCATCGTTCTCTTCAACGGGACTGATTGAATTTTTGCCAAACAAATGCAAATGTAAATTTTGCATTGATTTATAACATTTTTTTGAAATTTCTATTCTATCTTTAGTCAATAAATTTCTAGATTTTTGTTCGAATTTGAGTCTTTTAACGCAGAGCATCTACGAATTGAATGAATGCTTGCAACTTTCTTCTGCAGGGAAAGATGTGCGCATTCATGCAATAGACTTTGCCTCAGCTCAAGTGCATTTCACTACTAATGTATGAGCTTTCCAGCTTCTTATGAAGCGGTATCTCGAAATGTTTTACATATGCATTCCTTGTGAATTCATTCCCGACCGAACCCTAGCAATGGGCAAATATTGGCCTAGAAAATTTTGCAGTACAATGGCGAAATATCTACCCAAACAATTTCCCAAATGGAAAAAATGTGTACTCTACTTGATGCTTCAATGACTAAAAAAAATCTAATCGAAGTATATTAGGTACTGCATAGCAGTGACATCTCGATTAAAAAAATAATACCAAAATGTCTCCCTGCAAAGCCAAAGAGATGACTCGTCCTGATGAAATGCATTGCAAAAGGCTAACCCGAACTTATTCCCTCGCTCAAAGTTCAGAGGATGAAGAGAAAGACTTGAAAAAAAACTGCCTGCCATGGTAAGCTTGAGTGGACCAATGAATTGTTTCAAAAGTTTAACGGACAGACTCGATTATAAGATTCAATTCAGTTACAATCAAGGGATTGGGTTAAATAACTTACTTACTATCTTACTACTTCTGTGATCACAAATATGCAAGAGAATCAAAAGATGTGAAAATGTTGTTCTCGGTTCACCGACTTAATAAAGGCATTGTTTACCCAGTTATGTCTAGGATTATGGTTCTATGATTTACGATTCACGGCTGGTCCCATTCTCCACAATGTCATGGAGAGGCTACAGCTCGTGTAACATTTACCTCCGACTGATATCGAACTTATACCCACGATTTTGTCCTCAAATGCTTAAATGTATCGAAACGACCAATCCAGACTTCAAATAATTCATTTTGAAGACAAATCATTGACGGCCCTACCGATAGTAGCATGTCTAATATATTGTTGATAAGTCAATATGAACAATTTGGTAAATAAGCTTATTTGTTCATGTGAGATCAACAAATTAATGTTTACTAGTTATGTGTTGAAGTAGGAAAGAAATTTTGTTGTTCAGAAATATCAGCGCCACTGTTGACGTGCCGTGTACAGCTCAGAAATGGTGGCTAAAATAATAAAAAAAAATTCACACAAATATTAATTTTTATTGGCCTTTTTTTGAAATGCAATCATTTTCTTTTATCATTCAGTCACTTATTGATTACTTTTTATATTATGATAAGGTACAGGTTGATAAATTTTTGATGCGTTGTTCTAGTCGTTAAGTATCTTCAGGTTCACTCAACTCATGCAGCTAAGCAGAAGATGTGGTTGTTGGGTGGAGCTTCAATAATTGAAGCTCAAGTTAACGACAGTCAGAAGTTGAGTTCTTGCACATTATTGCGCGCAATCCTTTTAGCTGAGAAGGGAGTTTTTGCGCGCGTTAGGACCTAGTTGATTGAAGAGTATTTATACATAGAGGAAACTGATTTTATGGAAAGTTTCTAATATAAATATTGTTATTTAGACATGCATGTTTGAAGACTCCTATATGAACTCTTCCCTAAAAAGAAAAGATAGACATAAAAGCTCTTCGAGCTTGGTTCGGATATACCATTAGTTTCGGCATGTAAATTTGGATCTCATATATGGTTTCCAGCGATTAAATCATTATGCGTCATTAAGAGCGGTTCAACAAAAATCGTAATATGATCATGGCGGTATATAATCTTGGTCCAATATTTGTTTGCACTATTGTAATAATGAGGTTCACTAAATAAGCTGGATTAACTAATTTGAACACGAATCCATTTAAAACGTTTGCATTTTTTCGAATATACCATAAAAAGTTTATGTTTAACTTTGCTCCAAATTCAAAAACAGAAGTTAAATGAAGGTTTTCTATTGAATAAAGGTCTAAGTAGTTCTTTCTTCATTGACATTACATCAGTTTTTTAACCAATACCAAGATTGCAGAGAATTTAATCCGATAACGAGTATGAGGTAGTCGGGTTTGAAAACGGAAATGGGAATAAAAGATCTCAAGGACTATCTACCTCGAGCAGGTCTGGGTTAAACTGCAGTAATTTACAGTTCAGGTGCAAACGCAATAAACTTAAAGAAGTGTGACCATCCGAATCAAACTTGGCATTATTTATTGTGTGTGGAATGCAAATTTATATTCTGGGGTTGCGAGGTGAAAAGCCAATTTAGCGATAAAATTGATCACCAATCACTTCCATTTCAATTATTGAGGAAAGAACATGTGCAGAAAAAGTAAAAATCTTCTCTGTAATTGATTTTTATTTACAGAAATAATTGCATTGATGTATTCTGCTCAATTACAAACGATGAGAGTTGGTCAATGAGATAGTTAAATACTGGATTTAGAGTGCGTAGACTTTTTGGTTACTCGAAAAATGCGCTTCATTTAGTAATGCGTATGTAATCGCCGGTGCTTAGTTTCCTTCCCACAGATATGATTTTAAAAGCGTTATACCTTAATTAAATTGACAAGTTATGCAATATGCACATTCATGACGGCTCATTAAGTTCTTACGCGTAATGAATTTTTGTAAAATTGTTTTCATATATAATGTCATAATTCCCCAATTTCCAACGAACTAGCTTATGTCAATTTAAAAATAAAAGGCAAATATATATATTTTGTCAAACTTAGAACAAGTAAAACGGATTTTGCATCTCCAATTGTCTAACAATTAGTTAATAAAACTTGGTTCGACTTTAATCTAAAAACTAAAGGCATTTAGAGACTGGCATTAAACGAGAGTGTCATGTGTCAAAATGAATAAATCTTTGGTAACAATCGTATTTCATACATTACAAAAAGGTATTTCTTTTTAAAAGAAATGATAAAAAGTCTAAAAATATTCAACTGGAGTTCGGACATGATTCGAATTAACGCTCAGAAATCAATTTCTACTCTAGTATTAATGACGTTTAGTTTTCAGCCAGCTAAACTTAACAGATTTTTAATTTCCCTACCCGGAATACATTAATGTAATACGGTCTCTTACCGCAGATTGACAGCCCCGAACAAAATTCGTATTAACCGAAAACTAAATCTATTAGAATGAAGAACTGCCTCTTAACCTAATTAACGGCCAAGTAGGTATAATATTTAGTTCGTAACGATATGTCTCATAACGATTGAGTCTCCGGTGCTCAGCTTTGTCACCAAGAGATTAATCACATTTAAGGCACATATTTACCGTTTACCTAAATCTCTGGGTCAGGCATTCGCACCCACGAGATGATGATAATTTTTTGCGTTCAAAATTGATATTAGATCATTTCTTGGATGTTTTTAACATATAAGAATTGATCATGGTGCTATGTGCCGTAATGTAGTAAGCATTTGCATAGGTGTTAGGGACAAGGAATTGTTCGCTGAGGAAAACTAGACCAGTACGTGATTCAGGCACAAAATTAAGTGTGTGAAGATAATTTACAAAACAATTGCCTTTATATCTCGTCGCTTCTTTGTTGCTATAAGACTTCGCTTACGAAAAAATGATCAATCGTCTGGATCTCGATGAATTTTGTAGTTTACTCATCGGGCAGACAGCTTTCATGTTAATCATATTTCGCGTCATTTAATTGAATAGCGCCAATAACTCATGCATAATTCAGATGTTATGGAGAAAAAGCAAAATGGCTGCGGAGAGCATCCGCCATTGTAGGCGCAACTGTGTCGGGTAGAAGCAACTGTTGCAGAGCCTTGTCATGGTCCGCCCACTGCTCCTGTTCTGCCTCCTCGACTCAGCCTCGCCGACTAATGCAAGAGAAAGAAATTCTCAGTGATAAATTATTTGAAGTTTCCCTCAACACATCCCAAATGAATGAGGAAAAATTCTAAACATTTGATATTTCCCAGAAAAGGCATTTTCACTGATAATTTATTAGACGATTCATTCAACACACTAGAAACTACCATAAAAACGGTCAAGTTTTATATTTCTGTAAAAATTTCATTGCATGTTAGAAATTTTCCATAAATTATGATGAACTTGGCAATTAAATTTTAATTATGTAATGTTTGTTAAACCTTTTCCAAGTGACAGTAAATAATTCATACCGAATATTCCGGAAATTTATTATTAACATTTTACAACAGGCATATGTAAACTTAAGATTTTACGACTAATCACATCAAACTTATTTACCGATTACTTTTATTATTTGTCGAAGATACTAAAAAATGTTTCTAACACGCATAAATTTCTATCGCATTTTTTTTATTTAGCGACCCATTTGAGTCTGGGTAAAAAATGGCCGTAGTTTTTTAATTTAATTCTACTTCTGATCCCTATGACATTTGATACCTGCCCGAGTAAAAATGATATGAAAGAAGCTATGTACATATTACGTTATACGATTGTATAGCCTGTTAGCTAATATACAGAGTTCAAGCTCATTAGATTTTAAGTAGGTCATCCATCAGTTGCTTTAGTTTTATCTCAAAATACGAAATAGGGACATTGTAGGCTCCTTCAATCGTTCTGAAATACATACGATTTGACGTAATCGATCTTTATTAAACAATAAATGTTTAAACAGGCGTCAAAAATAAGCTTGCAAAATTTATGTATAATGACCATGTGAAGACGACAATCGGAGAGAAATTTCTTTAATTTACCGCGCTTTTTCCGTGTAATTGTAGATCGAGCCTTATCCATGCAGACTTTATTTACCAAAAATCTAGGGAATTATACGCGGTTGTTAGTATGCTGCATATATTTGGATGGTAAAACGACTATCGATATAAATAACATAGTGAAAAGATTCAGACAATTTCAGACACTCAAAATATTGATATCAACGATGACGTTGATATCGTCAAAATAAAAATTAACTGATAAAATTTACAGTACAGTAAAATTTTCGTGTGTTTTTTTTTTTGAAGCCAGACATGGGAGAATAATTTTCCTAATAAATTTCTTCAATGGATATTATCGATTGGCGGCCTGGGACATAGTTTTACTCTATCGAAATAAATGATATTATGAGTGCTGGCATAGAACTAATCATCACTTTTATTCAAGAAATCATCAACAGATGAAACAGAGGAAGAAAGTTATAATGAACTTTCACTGTTAAATTGTTGGATAAATGCTCGAAGATCCCTTGAAATTATTTGGTCAAGTAATTAACTTAAAATCTTTCATTTCCTTCGTGTTCTAGCTTTAGGCTTCTGTGTTAACGAAGTCTTTTGAATATATCAATATTAATCAAGGTTATTATATGCGAAATAATGTATGCTATTAATCCCGACAACATGAAATCAGTGCTTGAATATTTGGCTGTGACTCGATGCAGATGATCCCGAGCTGAAGTTGATTTATCTTCAATGATTATGAGGATGCAAAATCGTCTCACCAGGTCAGCTACGTAAACTAAATACAGTACGTATAAGGAAATCTCCCAAACTAATGTATATTTTCAAGAAAATTTATGAATAGTTACAATGCTTTACGGTGAATTTTAATTAATGCAAAGCACCAGTAAGTGCGACTGGAATGCCTGGAAACTTCGTTTAACTGCCCACGGCTCTCAATACGAATTTTCCATCGTAAGTCTGGAACTTGCGTGGATATTGCGCTACAACTTTTGCTGATGTATTAGCGTTGTGTGAGAGCATTGTGTTTCCTGTAGGTTCCAATTGATTGCTTATTGGTTTAACTAGTACCGAAGGAGTGTCTAAACATTCTGGAACAGTCTACCTACCAATGGCGGCTGTTCCAGGATCAGGGGCGGGGTTTTTCCGTGGCAAGAGGAGGGCTTGTTGTAACTGGAAAGTCATTGATCCAGGACACTGACGCAAGCCTCCGCTACTATAGCTGCCACCGCGCCATCGGCTGCTGGACTGCGCTGGAGGTTCGTGCGCTCGAGTGACTCGTTCAACTGTTGGCGCAACCTTCCTTCTTGAATGGCTTCATTGGTCATAATTGTTAACAAATGAAGTGAATGATTTTTTGATCACAATACTGAGAATTTATGTGACACTTTTCAATTGAAATTCGACACTGAAACTGTTAACAGTTGCTGAGAAACAGAAAGCAGCAAAACGTAGAAGACGTTGTACCGAAATGAATTTCAAATGGTGCCAGGGCAATTAGAACTTTGATATTCTCGCAGATTAGAAAAGCTCACCTAACCGGAAAAGTAATAGTTTCTAATATTTTCCGAATTGTTCAACAAACAGAAGTGAATTCCAATTTAGAACATAATGTTGAGATTATTGAAGATTATCATCAAGTTAACTCGTTTCGCTAATTATGAAAAGATATGTTGAAGTACACTCAGTCCTAAAACCTCGGATCCGATTTTTCACGACTGAAAAGAAAGAAATATCCACGGTGATTGCCGCGTTTGGCTGTTTCAAGTGAAAAATCCCATGCTTTCAGTTACAAGTTCATGAATGCTGATGCCTTTGTGCTGAGTGTAGGCGAATTTCACAACTGTGACTGGAAATCGGTAAAAACGTCCTGTGAAAGCTCGCATTATTTCTCTTGATGCTTAAAAAGTCTACGTTCTCCAAGACTACATTGACAGTTCCGAAAAATTCTACATTCGTCAATTCAACCAAATTGTCAAGTCTTCTGAGTTCTGATGCATCTTAGTCATTCGCCTTACCTCCATTTCCTTAAGTAAAATTGCTACTTGATCAACTTTTATATTATAACCACCTCTTCGAATCTATCCTCGATGAGCGGTCCCGGGGTAGAGATGGGCGACGCTCTGCTCATGGCTCAGAGACAGATGCTCTCCTCGCTACCTCCTGCCCTTTTCCTGAGGGCTTCTGAGCGCTTCCAACGCACACCAAAATGCGCGAGGTGTCGCAACCACGGAGTCGTGTCCGCACTCAAGGGGCACAAGAGATACTGTCGCTTCCGTGACTGTATGTGCGCCAAATGTACGCTAATAGCGGAACGTCAGAGGGTGATGGCTGCACAAGTGGCCCTGCGTCGGCAACAAGCGAGGGAAGAGAATGAAGTCCGAGACATAGCCATGCTTTACCAAGCGAAAGGTGTGACACAAGATGCCCTCATACCCCAAGATATGCTCATGCCTCCTCACCTTTCGCTCAGTATCTCACTTCAGCAGCAGCAACAAGCGGCTCGGCCGCTTTACACTTCAGCTTCTTCGTCTTCTGCTTCGTCCGAGTCTACCACGCCAGGTGAGATTTTGTTACAATTTTTTTCTTATTAATCTGGTAAGCCTTGATGTTAGCAATTTAGTTTAACTTTTTCTGAGGATTTTACTGTCTAATAGTGAATGATGAGGAAATCATGTTTGTTGTACTTTTTTATCGAAAATTTCGGGTAAAATAGCTGAAAGTGGTTTAGAGTAATTTTCCAATAAAAGATTCTTTCAATTGTACTTTGAGGAATTTTTTTCTCTATATATTACGACTAATTTCAATTTATAATTCATTAACCTTTATAATTACTATGTTTCTACAACTGGGAACTGATTTAAACTTGAGCCAATGTTATTGACGCCTCGACTTTCAATAATATATAGTTTTGTAACTTAATACACGCTCGTTGCACGCATGTACTGTATCAACTGCTATTTCAGTTGCTTATATGTTACAAGCATCCACTTTAAAAATCATCCCCATAACAGCATCAAAAATACCTGATTTGTCTTACTAATATTTTATAGAGGTAATGCCATTACTTCACTGTATTTAATTCAATCTTTTTATAAATAAAAATGCATGAATCTTTTATTTTCAAGTTTTCAAGTTTCTTTCATAAATTAGACAATAATTTTCTGTTCAAATGTTTCTGAAAGAAACTCATGACAGATTACACAATAAAAACGTTAAGATAAAGACACTCATTACTGTTCCATTCATTTTTAACACAACCAGAACTTCAGAATCTTTCATACAATTATCGTGCTTATAATCTTCATTCTAACGAGTCGCGAAGCGGATCTTTCAAAACACACGTGTCGACGACCCTCATCGCCTAACACCAGCACGCGAGGGAAGCTGAGGAGTGTTTTAGGGCTCTTTATAGACTGTGTTGTGGTCTTATCTTAATTATCTTTGAGATCAACGCATTCTTAATAAGGAGTGTGTGCTGAGGAGCCCTTGAAATCGCTTCTGCTAGCCCAACAGACAATGTGCGCGCTCACTTCCGTATGGATTCAGCTCTGTCGAGTACTAGGTTTTATACATGGAAAGATGGGACATTGTTTTTGGGTTCGTTACGGTGCGCAATGATAAGTAATGGTAAGTCCTATTTGTATTATGATTGCATTTCAAAGGGGATATACTATGTCACGTGAATTATCTGTTTGAAAACTGTTATTTATATTTTAAATTCTATTAAAGGCGACCATGCATGAAGTTTGGTAGGGGTTTATCGTATTATGTTTTGAACCACACGTGTGCCGCAAATATAATTTGCTTCTACACTATTGACTAATTTTGACGGGAATTTATTCCGAATCACCGAAAGAACTATTTCGATTGTTATATAGCTAAATTTTGTGCAATAATATCTGCCTGTGAGGTCACATTTTATCCGACAAACTTTCAGATTTACGTAAAAATAATGTTGTCAGTACTCAAAATTGATGGAATATTTCCCGTATTCCCTAACAGACTTGATACACGTTAGTGGGCGATAAGATTGAGTTCCATTAATTTATTCATAGACTTATTCGATAAAAATACTGAATCAGTAATACCGCAGCCATCTCAACATTTTTTTTCGTTAGTGACGAATTCTAAAATGTTTTTCAATTTGAGTTGTCCCAGCAGCATTTCATTTAATTTTCCGGCTTTCATGAAAATGGACAGAAGCATAACTCATCCTGAAATTTTAAATCATGTAAAATAGTTGCAATTTTACAATTAGCTACGAAATTGTTGTAGTTGACAGTTGTTACAATAAAATTTGTGCTCCCATCGAAAGAAATAAGAAATTCGAATTTGTAAATTAATTTTATTTCTAAAATTTTATTACATTCCATACAACTCTCTACTCAAATTTCATACTAGGCCTTAAACATTAATCAATATCAAGAAGCCATTTATGTTGTATTATAGCTCCATATGTCACCCCAACACCAACTCCTTACCTTGTCCAGCATTACAGAAAATGATCGGCAATAAAACCCAGGTTTCTCGTAACGCGGTCGTTTCCCCTTCGTTACCAATATCGCTCGTCATGTCACATAATTCGGGAAAATAGTGTCAAAATCTCTTGCGTCATCGTTCGATGTCTGGAAAATAGTGTCCAGAGGCTCGAAGCTAAAGAACATTCGGAAGTCGAGCAAGGCGCTGTTATTGACACAGATGGATAAATAACTCCCGGTGAAACGATCTCTGGAGATTTTTGCCGACCAAAACACTGATTCCGATGCCTGGAATGATCGCTTCAGTCTTCCAGGTTGGATGTTCGACACAGCGTTCATCGTACGGAATCCAAATATGATCGCTTGAGACTTTTCTTCATCGCTGTAAATTTCCTTTATCACTAATGTAAATTTATGTTACACAGAATAAGCAATAGGTTACACCATTTGTGATTAAACTTTTTAACGTTAAACGGAACGAGGAAAAATATACCCGTGATGGTGTGAATAAAATTATTATTCCTTAAGTCGTTACATATGTTATGTGTTTTTTCTCAGTGACTACCGGTACTTTTCACGTAATATTCATTTAATTTTGTAATATATATTTTTCCAATGAGAAAGGGACAGCTATCATTTGAAAATCTTAGATTTCAAGTGACCTTAAAGCAGCTACTGATTGGCCGGCGATACAACGCCTTTGATTCTGCCTTTATTTCAGAATTTGTCTGCGTTTGACGTTTGAGTTTGAAATTGAAATGTTGAATGCGGGTAAACCTCTTCTGCGCTAGTTGACATCGACGAAGGATGTCGCGCTTGAGAGTATATAGCGTTGATTTAGGACGCAGTCAAAGATAATATTTTTCTTTGCATGACCGAAAAAGATAATAATTCAATTCATGACTTTATTTGAATAAGCTATTAAACCAAATTTTGGATAAAAACAAAATCAAGGCAAGCATAAGTGGTGTTAGTTGTATTGAGACCCATGCATGAATCCAAAATATTTAATCTCACGACAAGTATAAATCCAAACAAAGTTGCATTGAGACTTTACACCATGTGCGACGGTAGAATCAACCAGCAGGGCTATGCAAAGAGATTCAATAGCAAGTCGTTATACTATGCAGATGCAGTAACTGAGCCTCAACATCGCTGCTGACACTCTCATGTCAAGTGCCTTCCAAACTTAACCGAGCCATGCATGTCTTCTGTTACCCAACTGCAGCAGAATATTATGGATTTGTGTGCTGACATCGCGCACAATCCGTATTGAGAAAATCTAAATTGGGAAATTGTGCGAGATGCTAGTCTAAAACGAACATTTATTCCCCGAAAAACTAAAAGTGTTGGTGAACTTGAGAAAATGCACACGCAAATGCATGCAATACCAGATGTGATTGAAATTATTAACTGTAAATTCTATCAGATTAACGCAATACGGATACAGTTTTTCAATTCTGTAACAAAACGCAATGATATTATGTATATCATTCATCCTCACCGAAGAAATAGTGACAACTTTAATACTATGAAAACCAAACAATAATTCCAAGTATTAATGGGACAAGACATCGATGGTTTAAAGTGCGTCAAACTCTACGGGGTGCGTGCACAAGATTTCAGCCTGAGGCGCAACACAGCCTGGGCTTACATCCCTGGTTACGGACGACTGAGCACAGCCGCTGAGCTCTAATGCGACACAGCCGCGCACTCCCTCTGCTTCTGACACTCAAAAGTCAACCAGAAACAGAGAATTAAAAACAGTGCACCCAACCGCAGTTGTTCTGTTGCTCCAGGCTTGCAGCAAAGGCTTTGTGTGCGATGCCACCGCTACAAAGCGAAGTAAATTGCTAAAATTTCGTACTTTTAGATCATACTTTAACTATTTGCCTTTGTGATTTGTCTGTTTGAATAGAATTAAATTGAAAATGAGTTATGATTGAACTGCCAAATTCATGGACGAGTTAGTCAATAGAAAAAAGAAAAATGAAGTTTATTATTATAGGTGAGTATGTTTGCAAGTAAAATGATTGAACGACAGTCATACAAAAAGAACATATAGTTTTTGATTACCTATTGATGATTGGTAACCAGCCCAACAGGTCCAAAGTTCAGTTACATTGATTCATCAATCATCATCAAGGTAGCTATTATAGATGCGTTATACAGTATATTACCGAGTTAAAAATGGGCAGAAGCACCGCATAAGGCAAACCGCAAAATCCTTAACTAACGAATTCAGGTTATTTTTCAAATGCTTTATTATTTAATTTTAGAGGATATCGAATTTTGTGTCTAATCATAATCATAGTCTTTTGATGAAAATACAAATATTTTTAATTTTTTTTTTTGTTCGTCATTTTGCTGGGAAATTTCCACTCGTCGTGAGTAACGTGCATTTTAGGTTTTTTGAGATTTTTTCAGGTCAGTGTGCAAAGTCCTGCAGTTCAGTTGCTTTCTCATAATATTTGAAGAATTATATCCAATTTTTCTCGCTAAATTTAAGTAAAATTCCTAAAAGTTTTAAATTAGTTTTAACTTTCACGATAGAAAATTTCCAGGTTGTTTAAATTACTGGCTCTTTATCATCACAAACGCTACTTGGTTCAATTTTAAAACTGTGATTTCTGATAATAAAGTAAGATTGATGCATATATGAGAAGCTAATGATTTTAAATAGAAAGTCAAATTCAAATTTTAGCAACAATTTGACATGTGAATAATTAAATTCTTCAAAAATATTTAATTTATGTAATACATCATTCTCACTTCTTTAAGAATTATTGAAAAATCTTGCTTTTCCTTCGATAGAATGAATCAGTTTGTGCTCAATCAGGCAGCCAGATTTTTTTAGATTGATCGGAGGGTCCCAAAAAGTAGAGGCAATGAGGCTTTTAATTAACAGGGCTTCAGGTTGTCTACTGCTGGGGCCGAAGCTAAGATCTATAATACAGAGCTCTTGGCGACAATACCGATATTTTTTTGTGTCTTAGGGGAGATTTTTTTAGATGATCTTACTTTTCACACGTTCGTTGATCTGAAATGAAGTTCACAAGCAGATCTTTGATTTTTAGGTGT